GCTCAGCAGGAAGCCCGATGTGGGGCTTGATCCCACGACCCTGGGATCATGACCTGAGCTGCAGGCAGTCGCTCAACCAACTGAGCCACCCAGGCACTCCTAAAAATAAAATCTTAAAAAAGAAAATAAACTGTAACTTGAAAGGGGTGCCTGGCTGGCTCAGTTGATAGAGCATGTGACTCTTGATGTCAGGGTTGTGAATTGAAGCCCCACGTTGGGTATGGAGCCCACTTAAACAAACAAACAAACATAAAAACTGTACCTTGAATAATTGGATGAGTGGATTAAGGGTGGTATTATTTTATATAGAAGGAATCTATTAATGATATACATTGAAGTAAGTCAGATATTATAGGCCATGTACAAAAAATATCAGTTAATTCTCTTTGGCTTGTAGTGAATGGTACCCCTACATTGAAATGAAAGAAAATAATGGGAATCATATTGGAAGATGGATACCATATTGAGAAAGATCTTGAATAAGATCCTAAGAAGCTTGGACTTTTATTCTGTTTTTAGCAGGAATCTCTTAGAAGTTCTTATTATTTATTTATTATTTATTTATTTATTTTTTTAAAAGATTTTACTTATTTATTTGAGAGAGAGAGCACAAGCAGGGGGAACGGCAGAGGGAGACAGAAGCAGACTCCCCGCTGAGCAGGGAGCCTGACGCAGGGCTCGATCCCAGGACCCCGGGATCATGACCTGAGCCAAAGGCAGCTGCTTAACTGACTGAGCCACCCAGGTGCCCCTCTTAGAAGTTTTTAAAATGGGGAGTTCCTTAGAGCTTTAATCTAGAGAGAATTTATAAGATGTATTGGCATTAATCAAAACTAGAAGTTGGGAGACCAGTTTAAGTGCAATTGCCAGAGACTAATAAAGGTATTATTTAAACTAAAGTCTTCATAATGAGACTGTAGTAAGGCGATAAATGTCAAAGACACTAGGTCTTTGTGCTACAGTTAGGAATGGACAGGTTGAGGGAGAGAGAGGCGGGGGGTCATATGATGCTGAGATTTTGAAGCCTAGGGATCTCCTAATAAGTTGATATTAATGGAAACAGGTAATAGATTAGGGAGGAATATTAAGTTCATTTGCTGACATAGTTTGGTTTTGGTGTGCTGAATTTGGGGTAAATTTTGTAGTATAAACAGAACAAGTATTTCAAATTGTTTTAGTAGATTCGTGTTCAAATTTTAATTCAAGTTGAACTAATTCATCAAACATGATAGCCACTAATACTTAACCTGAATTATAGATCATGTTCTGTACTTTAAGCAAATTCAAATGTCCTCTCCGATTCTTTTATTGTTGTAGAATTTTATTTGTTTGTTTTTGGTAACCTGCACTGAATAACACATCCTTATTAGGTATCTGACTGAGGTTTGGTACGTTTTGTTAGGGATATCCATTATGGGAGTATCTGTTGTCATGGAATCAGACTTATATTCTTTCCTAAGTAAAACCTGAAACTGAACATTATTTTAAAAATTTAAACCAGAATTACAGTTGAATTTGATGAAAATATTTTTCATAATTTTTTTGTTTCTAATTAAATTCAAGCTCACTAAAACCAAACAATACTAAATATAGTCAATTAAAAGTGAAACTGAATACCAAATATATCAGTATCCTGTCATCTCCTTGCTTTACACAGTGAAATGATTTTTCATAGAAATTAACTTTGTCACCTTTGCTACTTTTCCATTCTCTAAATAATCCTTTTGGCCTCAATTTTCTTTAGGCTTGAGTTATTTTTATTACTGTTTTCATAATAAAACTTGAGACTATTTTTTAGCCTGAAAGGTTTTCAAATAATTTATTTCTTTATCTCAAATAAGAAAACTGTCCCTTTAAAATGTTTATTTTTTTAATTGACTTTCCTTTATTTACACTTTCATAATGAGTCATAGCTTCCATATACCATGGTCAAGTTTCCTAGGTATGTAGTCCCCCCGCTTCCATTTGCTTTAACAAAGCATGAAAAAATAGACCTTTCTCCTTCTCTAACATTGTC